CACCTAAAATTAGAAAGAACTATGGGTCATACAACAAAACTATGAAAACCAAAGCAATATATCTCATTTTGGAAATATTTAGAATAATATTTGCAAATGTTATAACGTACAACTAGATCAAGATTTATTTTCATAGATGCAATTTGCGACATATCACAATATTTATTGTTGTGATTCTTAATTGGTTAATTTGATACAAAATAGATGGACGACTAAACGGAAATAACACAGTGGACCACATTACAATGTTTTTTGTTCTTTGAGGGGGCAGGATGAAAATTTTTGTATCTTTCGGGGGGGAGAAATGGAATTTACCCTTTATTTATTGATATCATTTTATTGAGGACTTCTCTAACCTGAAAAAGCTTAGTCAGGATTTTATAGCAAATGTTACCCAAACTAATGGGTCTGAATTGTGTTGTCTAGTAGACAAACAGAATTTGCAACTACATCCCAACATTTTCTAGTAGAAATAGGCTTGCAATCCATTGGATCCAGGAGTTTTCACGCTTTTGAGTTTGAATGTTGTCTTCCTAATTTCCTCATCTGTTACAGGAAGTTCAAGAATACTTTTCTCTCAATCTGTTAGTTTAGTCTGATAGTTGTGATATGTGAGATCAGCAGAGTAATCTTGTTCATTAGTGAATTGGTTCCTATAAAGAATTGGGATTTCATTAGAAATTTGTGCTTGATCTGTCATTCCACACACCTTGTGATTTTTTTAAGGTTTGAGGTCTATTCTTTTTCCTTCTTTTAATATTAGAGACATGGAAGTATCTAGTGTTTTCTGTCTCCTAAAGTTATCCACTTAGGCCTACTGTTTTGGAACCATAAGATATCCTCCTGAGCTAGTGTATTCTAATAAAACTTGGGCAATTCTGCTTCAAATCTTTCTAGATTATGTGAGTAGTGTTGTTCTTGAGCTTTTTAGATTCCTTTACATAGAAGATTGAGAGACAGAAAAAATCAGAAAAATGGATTGAGAGCCAGCTGCATATGTAATACAGATTGGCAGCAATGAAATTGACGGTCCATAATAGAACATGTACATAGAAGATTCTCACTAGGGGAACAACTAGGGTGGGCTGAGATTCATTTGGGCTCATTTTATGATATCCTCTGTTGGGTTTAACTGAATTCAATTATATCCAATTTTTTTTTCAAATCAAATTGTGAATGTTTAAAATATATGTTTATCCAAATGCCCAATTTTGATTTCACTAAATAATTGTTTATTATTGTTGCTTGCATGACTTACCACAATTACAAAAGGCTTCATTGCATTAGAGACATATTATTTGCAAGGCATGCTAATGAAGACGTGGAGTTAGAGGAGGAAGACAATGTAAACCAAACTTCATTTGAAGAGAATATTGATTTGTCATATACAAATTCAATGTATAGGAAAAGAGAACGTATTGCTTTAGCAATTCTAAGGACAATCACGCACGATTTTTGACTATATTTACCATTAACATGTATTTTGCGACTTTAGTATGTCATTGAGATAGTTGGACTATATATTTGTGTATCATATGTGTAGTGTATGTTTGTATATGTGCATTCAATGCTATTAACAATTGTGACACAAATAAATATTTTCACATTCAAACGTGTTTTTTAAAAAATGCATTAATTTAAATATTTTAAATTTTGAATATCTAAACAATACTTATTTAATAAAAGTATTTTTCTTATAAACACTTTTAATAAACATTTATTAAAAAAATATTTTTTTGATTTCATAAACCATCCCAAACACACTCAATATCATACAAAATATACGTTAGTAACTATCACGGGTGAGCATTCACCGGTTCATTCAATGGTTTATTATTAGACTATGATACTATCTATATAATTAAATATAACATAAAAAAATAATTTTTATTTTTCACTATTGAAATCATTTTAAATTTTAATTTAAAGTTAATCTAACAGTTAATATTAACTCTCTAAATTTAATAGGAAAAATATGCCTCCTAAATGTGTGTTTGATGTGACTTTTCAAAAATATTTCTAGAACTTATGACTTCTCATAAACAATTTTTAAAAAAAAAGTAGTATTTGAAACAACTTATTTTAATTACTTTCAAGTAAGTCAAAAGTAGTTTTACCACTTAAATAAGTAAGTAAAAGTTAAAAAAAAAAATATTTCTCTATAAAATACTTCACTACCACCAAAGCCGCCGTCACCCCAACACCACCACTGTTGTCGCCACCCCAACACCACAACTGTTGTCATTACTAGGTCTGTCAACAAATCGGATATAGACCAGATTATGTCATATTCGAATCTGAATCTGATTACGATTTACGTGATCTGATCGAATTCGATTATCCAGTGGATTTGAAATTTGTAATCCATATCTGAATCCATGAACTTTTGGATATTCCATTCGAAAATACGATCGATCCGTTTATGTACAAAGTAAAATCAACCTACAAATATCTCACAAATTATAACAAATTCAACTTCGTACAACAAAAAAATTATAATACTTACTCATTTGAAGCCTTAACAAGCAACAAAAATTAAATATGTCAACCTTAATTTTAGTTATAAAAGTGAAGAAGAAGACACAAGGAAAAAAATGTGGACGATGAAAAAATATTGATGGATATAAATTCACAGGATATAAAAAAAAAAAAAAGATATATATACAATTCAAGTCGAATTGTTAACAGATTAAATTTGATAAATCCATTAAATATAACATAACGTATTCGGATTCAAATTTGGATAATCAGTAAAATTATTAATTCATATCCGGTTAATTGAATTTGGATCAACATCCAATCCATTCATAGGCCTATCTGCCACCTCCCCACCACCACCGCCACCTCCCCACCATCACTGCCGCCATCGTCATCCACCACCCACTACCATCATCATTTAATTCTTATATTTATTACCACTATTACCATCATTCCACCACTACTAGGCCTGACAATCGTGTGGAGTGGAACGATTTCGTGTCGGGTAGAACGGGTTTGTATCAAAATATCCTTTATCCATATCTCATTCGTTTATATAAATGAGTTCAACTATTACATTCATACACGAATCATTTATTAGACAGATTACCCGATATAACCTGTGTGTCACCCACTAAATAAGAGAATAAGGTATAGTATTTCGAGTACACACGAAAAATCATCAACTTGTTACACATTACACATGTTTGACTTATTTACTATAATAATAAATCATGGCTGAGCAAAAAAATAAAGACAACAAATAAACATTAAATGACTATTAAATTTGAATGAGTCTAAGAGATGAGAGGTGTGATATGAGGTAGACGCTGAGAGATCTAACTTTTTTAAAAAAATTTTATAGTACAACTGTTAACGGGTTAAATGGGTTGAAACGAATTTATGGGTTAAACACGAAATCAGTTCATTTATTTCACGGGTTTGCCGAGCTAACCCGTTAACTATCCGAACCCATTAAAACTACAACCAAACCCACTAAATCTGTGTTAGATTCATATCGGTTTCACGAGTCATGTCTAGAATTGCTAGGCCTAACCACTACAGTCGCCCCACCGTCACCACCTACCACCATCACCCATTACCCTAACCACCACCACATGTCGTTGTCCATCATCGCCACCATCCATTGTCACCCCCCCTCCACCACACTTACCACCATTCATCCTCGCCCACCACCCACTATTACCCACCCCCCAACCCCACCACACCTACCACCACCATTGTCATTTCGCCACCACCACAAGCACTTGTCGTCGCCCCACCACCACCACCACCACTATTGTCATTGCCCACCACCACAACCTATTATTGCCACCATAATTGTAGTTGCCCCACCACCATTGCTAATTATTATCATTGTCGCCCTCCACCATCCACACCCAAGGCAAGAGTTAGGAAAATTTTTTAAGGTGGGTACACTAACATGATTTAATTTTTTGTTTAATAGATCGTAAAAATCCATAAAATATTTCTTTTATATATAAAATCGCAGTAACAATATTTCATTTAAAATCCTATAGTTTACTACATAACGATACACATTTTTATATAATAAAAAAATAACCCTACAATTTAAAAAAAATATATAAAATAACATCAATATGTTCAAAACATATTCAGACATGGTTGAAACATGTCTAAAAATTAACAATAATATTAGTTGCACATAATTTGAAATTTAATTGATGAAGACCCAATAGTTTGTGATCATTGGATAGATAGTAGAGTTTATTAAATATTAAAACTCACTATTATATTTAATATCGCAATGTATTAGGTCCTTAAATTAAGTTTCAATAATATTGTTCAAAAAGTTAACAATCATTTAAGTAATGATCTATTCAATTCGATATCATCAAAATACAATATTAAGGTAAACATAATTAAATATGTCTAAATTTTATTTTAAAAAATACATACCTAATATGAAGTAAAAAAAAATTGAGGAGGAACATGTGCCCAAGCCTAAGGGTGGCTCCGCCCCTGTCCACAACACCACTACCACTGCCATCACCCATGACTGCTACTATCACCATCGACACCCAAAAACCCACCACCACCATTGCCGGCCATGATCACCACCACCACTGCAATTATCGCCACCCACCACAAACTATCACCGTCTTCCACAACCACCACTATCATTGTTCACCCTTTACAATCGGTACTTAAATTATTTTATCTCTCCTCCGTATTTATGATTTGATTGAATATGAATACAAACATATTTATGATTGACAATTTTTTGTTTATTACTCTATGTCTTCGTGCAACGCGCAATAAATAGTGTTCCAATAATACACCATTGTAATGAATATTTACGTCAATCAATGCTGTTGCACTTGCTCACTGTTTCTTGCCAAAACTTCAGAAGAAATCAAATAACTGAGTTTAAGAGATTTTCGATTAAAATGATGTTTCTAAAGCTAGATTAATAGCCTTTTCTTTGATTCAAAGGAGTAGCTTGATAACATCTTTGACACAGTTCACGAGAGATGGTGGTTAAATTCCAAGGTGTTCCATTTTTCAGTCGAAATGCATATAATCAAGCTCAGAGCTCTGTTAAGGGGATGCTAGTTCCAGTAATGACTAATAATAGCCAATGATGTAACTTCAAATCTTTTGATAACAAGTAAGGCACAACACAGTATGAGGGGGCCCCAATTGGAATTTCATTGTACATAGTTTAAGCAAAAGAATATACAACGGCCCTCGATGTTACCAGATGAATCGGAAAGAAGGCATATGACTAGATCCAACCTGACAAACCATATCTGTCAGCAACATTGTACATGACTAGTTCATCCCAAACATGGCCGAAAAGCTGTTCCCCTCCGATGGCAAAGGTAAGCGCCCATGAAGAGAGAAGAGCACTGAACACTGTGAAACCAATAGCTGATCCTACAACATCTGCAAACGGGTAGATTTGCAAAGACTTCAGGCCATAAAAAGAGAAAAGCATAGCAGATGGATTGGAAGTACAAAAAAGATGATAAACTAAAATGACTTAATTTAGACCCACAATCCACACGATTGATAAATTTAAAAGAAAACTAACCAATCAATATATAATTACATGGAAAGGAAAGTGTTTACATTAACTTTGAGATCATAAAACTAAAGCTTCATTGTATCATCAAAATATCATTATTTACTAAACATGAATATGTAGTTTCCGAGATTTTTAAGTCACGTCTAGTTAAGTTTGACTTCGATTCAAGCGACAACTTGTGGTTTCAACTGGTATGAAAAATAACATCAAAAATTTTCAGCCCGATTTCAAATGCGGCTCCACAGAAAATCATGTAGTTGTACATCAAGGTTAACATAAAGCGTTTAGCAAAAATAATAGGTCCCGATAGTATGATGGATAAAGAGATTATAAAGCAGGAATCTCCAGTTCGCCAAGAGCCAAGAAATTCAGTCAACACCATGACATCACAAGATACTCAAAATGCCTGTATTATGATAGTAGGATTAAATTAAATCCACGCCATGACATGACAAAGAGACTCCAAAGCATATGACATGCCATGACTATCATCAACCAGCCATCTTTTATGCAGGCATCTTAACTAACATTCATTCATTGAGCTATACTCCTAACACATACATCAGTTTCTTATTCCATCTTACCCAATTTCCTATAGCAACTTAAAGCACATAAAAGTTCACACAAAAAGTCTAGATTTTCTAACTGCAGGTGAACTCATTGACAAAATCAAGATGTCCTAGAGTACAGAAACAATCAGCATACAAGGACCCTCACCCAAATTTCAGACTTTGGTTTGGACATAATAATTTTCACATTCAAGGTTAGAAAAAGAAATGGGTCACAAAAACATTCCATGGCGTTAAGTATGACTCATGGAGACCAGTATAATCTTTACTATATCAATGATCATCCCAAGTGAAAATATGAGAGCTTTGGAAGGTAGAGCTAACAGCTTTTTGGTAAGTTTTCACTTGTATTATATTTTTATTACATGATATCTACTCAATTCTTCAAGCAAAAGAACAAATTGCTGATTCTAAAAAGCATTATGTGATTCCTTCCATGCTGTTTCTAAATGTTCATGAATTAT